CTCCAGTGAAATACTTGGATTTAATTTATATGCACAAAATAGTCTACATCCCAGGAGTTACATACATGGCCAAGCTCCACTTAAGAGCACTCGTGAGAACCTTCACTTAAGCTGGACACACACAAATCGTGAGCAAAGTCTCTCCAGTTTAAGATACACTACACACCTATTGCAGGCCTTTCTATGTGGATCAGATTTGACTACCATGAGGCCACCACGAATGTGAGACAAATGTTACACATTTAAATGGTGCACGTTTACATAGTTCACACCAACAAACACACACACATAATCTCCATATCACAAGCTTCAAACACTGTGATAATCTCATTTTAACTGCTTGCGGTATTGGGAACAAAACACGAGGAATGTCTGGAGGATGGTAATGCTTTAACAGAAGATTTACTAAAAAGTCAAAATTTACATCTCAAAAAGGGTGATACATTTAAGCTGTATGTTGTTGCTCTACTTTAAAACACTTCGGTAACCTCTGTGGGCTGTCAGCCATATGCCAGTTGGTGATACTTATTATTATTATTATTAATGTCTTTGTTGACAAAATATAATTTCAATTTTGCCTAATACTGAACACAAAGGTAGATGATGCAGCGTTAGGTACACTCGATGTGTTCTCCTCTCGGCTTATTTCCCCACTCATACCGATTCTTTTACAGTATTTCGTCTGCCTTCCCAGGCAGTTCAACCTTCATGGTTCAAACTGCACTCATGTCTCACAAGCACAATGGCACGACATCACACGATATACTGTTGGCTGCACAAGCTTATCAGTGACAGCCTTAACATATATTTGTAAGAAATACAATAACCAAAATTTCGAGACATAAGGACTTACACTGCAGCCTTACATAATACGTCGCAGACCAACAATGACACTGGTACACTTCCCTCAACTGAGCTCGATTCCTCGGATAAAGAGTCATGTAAGAGAGTTTGATCCATCCCTGATGTGGTATTGTGGTGGAAATCTTGTACATATATCTTCTGTATATGAAGAAGACTGTCTTTTAATTTCTCACTGTAGTAGTGGATTGTGTATTTCTGCTTACACTGAAGAGTAAGTAATTAATATAAACATTTTGATGTTCTATAGATAGAGTCAGTAAAATAATGTGCCTTTATCACAGTGCACAGGAAGCATTTCCACTCAGCACAGTCTCTTGGTATTAGTAAAAACTGTTTATTATTATTCGTGCCCATTTATTTATGTATTTACATTTTCGTAATAAGATACAATAAATAACGCTATTCCTCAACGTTGACTTAGCCGTAGACAGGAGCTGGGGTGTAAGTTTGTGCTGGGTACTGGGCCTGGCCCTCGTAGGTCACCTGGGCCACGTAGCCGGAGTCGCCGTTGACAGTGTAGGCCACCTTCTCCAGACGACCGTCAGGAAGCAGCACGTAATAAGAGCCCTGGGTATGGGGGCCGTCACGGGTCTCCTGTTGGCCGAAGTCGTTTCCTGAAGCGTCGTCTTTGACGGCCCAGTTGAAGTCGTACTTAGCAGGAGCCTGCAATAATATAAATCTTTATGGTCTCCGGGTTGAAGCTCACTACGTCTATAACAAGCACCACATGTGTTAGTATTATATTGGTGACAAACAATTTTTTATTAGTCTGGTTACTGAGAAACACTTGAAGTGTTGTCCAGTTTGCATTATACTCACCTGAGGACCGGGGGCGCCGTAGACTGGTGTTGGTGGCCTGTAGGTGGGGTAGGGAGGAGGCTCGGGGCGGGCCATCGCCGCTGCCACCAGCATGGCCACAACAACAACCTGATACATTTACAGTTCCATTAAATGGTTATAATTTATGTATTATTTTTAATATTAAACTTTTATCCTCAGGCAAGGATTATATAAATCCTCGCTATTACATATTGTATCATATATTAGCAAATGGTTTATCACTATACAGGAGAACATAATAAAGATGACTTCCAAACACCGTCACAATACCTTGAGAGACATGTCTGGTGAGGAAGAAGAATGAGACTGATGCTCCTGGATGGATGCCGCCGACTTATATACTCTGAGCATCACCCCGCGGCCTTGAGGTTACAACGTTTTCATGTGACAGTTGATTTTGTGGTAACGAAACTTTTTTCTTAAAGTTCTTCTAAACTGTTTTAACGCACCTTTAACAAAAAACATTTATGTTGATATGATCAAGTGAGGGCAAAGTCGTTTTGTCCGTGTATATATGTAATATTTCATATTCGGTATATTATTTAAAATTTGCTAATATATTATATTTAAAGTTTCATCTGGTGTATTTTCACGCAGAAAATTTATGAACTGAATTGAAAATGCAAATATTTTGAGAGATGATATATAATGCTTGGTTGTATACTGGTAGGTCTGTGCCACAACACAACACTACAACCCTCATTATGCCTGTGAATAAGATTACCTTTTTAGCTGTTCCTGCACACCGAAGATTTGAGTATGACTTGCGTTGTTTGATCTATTCAAGAGGCTTGTGAAAGGCAAGCTCGCATGTTCTCAGAAAGTGGGATGTTGAAGGTTAACCTCAGAAGTGACCGTCTTCCATTTATCAGGATTAACCCAACCCAATGCATGAGGAAGCAACAGCAGAATTTCAGGTTGGAACCTAAATTTGGGTGTGTCTGAATCGCTGCCATTAAGAGGAGTCTAGATGGCGCACTACAGCCAACATACAGTATCATGTTGACAAAGTAAAGCGATAAAACATTAGAGAGGTTTGCGTTATTCCACTTGAGTAGCGGCCTGGAACGATAAGGTAGCAACTAAGAAATGGTATGGCCTGTGTGACCTGACCCGTCCACCAAGAACCTGTGGCAGTTACCCCGGCCAGCACTTCCGTGATGATTTAATTCGTATGATGGGAGAGGACCAGTCAAATTAGAGACTATGAAAATGTTACTCTTTGGCCGATTAATACTGAGTTTACTGGAGCTAGAGAAGCCAGCTGTGAGAGAAGGAGCGGGAATGACATTCAAGACAGACGTCACATACAGAACAGACGTGACCTCCCGACTCCTTGGCCATAGAAACAGTCCTGGTGTCTATAAGCCTTGCTACACCAAGAAACAAACACACACAGCATTATCATTAATTGCTTCGTGAATCGTTCGAGTGATAACAATAAATAACAACGGAACACACAGGAAACAATACCACTGGCTTGGATTGATGATAACATTAGCAAGGGCAGATATTTAATGTTTCTTATGTATGACCTTGACTGTGTATGCTGACTCAGGACGACACCCCAGCCAATCTCAGTGTCCAAAATTACTTCTCCTGTACCACCTTTACTTGCAATATCGCCAATGCAATACGGTCGACTGCTCCTATTGGTAATCAACAGAAGTAAAGCTTAGAACATCAACGTGGAAACTAAGTGAATTGCATCAGATTATTAGTCGGGTCTACATCCATCTGTTAGACGGAGAAGTTGTGTCGGTTCCATCAATATTTATTTAATGTAATGTTAAATGTTTTCCTTGATGGGAACTTTTTATATGTGTTATTTTATATGTGGGGGAAGTGATCTAAGATACAGGTATGTGTATATTAAGGTCACTAATATTACACTTTATCCTATATTCATAGTTTGGGAATTTCTCTTTACATTAGAAAGCATCATACACGATGTTATCAGATAGTGATCTCTGCTTGCTCCGGAGATGATATTAGGCTCAGTGAGGTACCCTAACCTTAACATTGCAATTATATGACACACTTCAATATATGGCTTGTTAACACTATTGCAATTCAAAGGAGTTACAGGAGCTCCAGTGAAATACTTGGATTTAATTTATATGCACAAAATAGTCTACATCCCAGGAGTTACATACATGGCCAAGCTCCACTTAAGAGCACTCGTGAGAACCTTCACTTAAGCTGGACACACACAAGTCGTGAGCAAAGTCTCTCCAGTTTAAGATACACTACACACCTATTGCAGGCCTTTCTATGTGGATCAGATTTGACTACCATGAGGCCACCACGAATGTGAGACAAATGTTACACATTTAAATGGTGCACGTTTACATAGTTCACACCAACAAACACACACACACATAATCTCCAAATCACAAGCTTCAAACACTGTGATAATCTCATCTTAACTGCTTGCGGTATTGGGAACAAAACACGAGGAATGTCTGGAGGATGGTAATGCTTTCACAGAAGATTTACTAAAAAGTCAAAATTTACATCTCAAAAAGGGTGATACATTTAAGCTGTATGTTGTTGCTCTACTTTAAAACACTTCGGTAACCTCTGTGGGCTGTCAGCCATATGCCAGTTGGTGATACTTATTATTATTATTATTAATGTCTTTGTTGACAAAATATAATTTCAATTTTGCCTAATACTGAACACAAAGGTAGATGATGCAGCGTTAGGTACACTCGATGTGTTCTCCTCTCGGTTTATTTCCCCACTCATACTGATTCTTTTACAGTATTTCGTCTGTCTTCCCAAGCAGTTCAACCTTCATGGTTCAAACTGCACTCATGTCTCACAAGCACAATGGCACGACATCACACGATATACTGTTGGCTGCACAAGCTTATCAGTGACAGCCTTAACATATATTTGTAAGAAATACAATAACCAAAATTTCGAGACATAAGGACTTACACTGCAGCCTTACATAATACGTCGCAGACCAACAATGACACTGGTACACTTCCCTCAACTGAGCTCGATTCCTCGGATAAAGAGTCATGTAAGAGAGTTTGATCCATCCCTGATGTGGTATTGTGGTGGAAATCTTGTACATATATCTTCTGTATATGAAGAAGACTGTCTTTTAATTTCTCACTGTAGTAGTGGATTGTGTATTTCTGCTTACACTGAAGAGTAAGTAATTAAAATAAACATTTTGATGTTCTATAGATAGAGTCAGTAAAATAATGTGCCTTTATCACAGTGCACAGGAAGCATTTCCACTCAGCACAGTCTCTTGGTATTAGTAAAAACTGTTTATTATTATTCGTGCCCATTTATTTATGTATTTACATTTTCGTAATAAGATACAATAAATAACGCTATTCCTCAACGTTGACTTAGCCGTAGACAGGAGCTGGGGTGTAAGTTTGTGCTGGGTACTGGGCCTGGCCCTCGTAGGTCACCTGGGCCACGTAGCCGGAGTCGCCGTTGACAGTGTAGGCCACCTTCTCCAGACGACCGTCAGGAAGCAGCACGTAATAAGAGCCCTGGGTATGGGGGCCGTCACGGGTCTCCTGTTGGCCGAAGTCGTTTCCTGAAGCGTCGTCTTTGACGGCCCAGTTGAAGTCGTACTTAGCAGGAGCCTGCAATAATATAAATCTTTATGGTCTCCGGGTTGAAGCTCACTACGTCTATAACAAGCACCACATGTGTTAGTATTATATTGGTGACAAACAATTTTTTATTAGTCTGGTTACTGAGAAACACTTGAAGTGTTGTCCAGTTTGCATTATACTCACCTGAGGACCGGGGGCGCCGTAGACTGGTGTTGGTGGCCTGTAGGTGGGGTAGGGAGGAGGCTCGGGGCGGGCCATCGCCGCTGCCACCAGCATGGCCACAACAACAACCTGATACATTCACAGTTCCATTAAATGGTTATAATTTATGTATTATTTTTAATATTAAACTTTTAACCTCAGGCAAGGATTATATAAATCCTCGTTATTACATATTGTATCATATATTAGCAAATGTTTTACCACTATTCAGGAGGATATAATAAAGATGACTTCCAAACACTGTCACAATACCTTGAGAGACATGTCTGGTGAGGAAGAAGAATGAGACTGATGCTCCTGGATGGATGACAGCGACTTATATACTCTGAGCATCACCCCGCGGCCTTGAGGTTACAACGTTTTCATGTGACAGTTGATTTTGTGGTAACGAAACTTTTTTCTTAAAGTTATTCTAAACTGTTTTAACGCACCTTTAACAAAAAACATTTATGTTGATATGATCAAGTGAGGGCAAAGTCGTTTTGTCCGTGTATATATATAATATTTTATATACGGTAAATTATTTAAAATTTGCTAATATATTATATTTAAAGTTTCCTCTGGTGTATTTTCACGCAGAAAATTTATGAACTGAATTGAAAATGCAAATATTTTGAGAGATATATAATGCTTGGTTGTATACTGGTAGGTCTGTGCCACAACACAACACTACAACCCTCACTATGCCTGTGAATAAGATTACCTTTTTAGCTGTTCCTGCACACCGAAGATTTGAGTATGACTTGCGTTGTTTGATCTATTCAAGAGGCTTGTGAAAGGCAAGCTCGCATGTTCTCAGAAAGTGGGATGTTGAAGGTTAACCTCAGAAGTGACCGTCTTCCATTTATCAGGATTAACCCAACCCAATGCATGAGGAAGCAACAGCAGAATTTCAGGTTGGAACCTAAATTTGGGTGTGTCTGAATCGCTGCCATTAAGAGGAGTCTAGATGGCGCACTACAGCCAACATACAATATCAGGTTGACAAAGTAAAGCGATAAAACATTAGAGAGGTTTGCGTTATTCCACTTGAGTAGCGGCCTGGAACGATAAGGTAGCAACTATGAAATGGTATGGCCTGTGTGACCTGACCCGTCCACCAAGAACCTGTGGCAGTTACCCCGGCCAGCACTTCCGTGATGATTTAATTCGTATGATGGGAGAGGACCAGTCAAATTAGAGACTATGATAATGTTACTCTTTGGCCGATTAATACTGAGTTTACTGGAGCTAGAGAAACCAGCTGTGAGAGAAGGAGCGGGAATGATATTCAAGACAGACGTCACATACAGAACAGACGTGACCTCCCGACTCCTTGGCCATAGAAACAGTCCTGGTGTCTATAAGCCTTGCTACACCAAGTAACTAACACACACAGCATTATCATTAATTAAGTGCTTCGTGAATCGTTTGTGGGATAGCAATGAATAAAGAACTCACAGGAAACAATACCACAAGTTTGGATTGATCATAACATTAGCAAGGGCAGATATTTAATGTTTCTTATGTATGACCTTGACTGTGTATGCTGACGCAGGACGACACCCCAGTCAATCTCAGAGTCCAAAATTACTTCTCCTGAACCACCTCTGCTTGCAATATCGCCAATGCAATACGGTCGACTGCTCCTATTGGTAATCAACAGAGGTAAAAGCTCAGAACATCAACATGGAAACTAAGTGAATTGCGTCAGATTATTAGTCGGGTCTACATCCATCTGTTAGACGGGGAAGTAGTGTCGGTTCCATCAATATTTATTTAATGTATTGTTAAATGTTTTCCTTGATGGGAACTTTTTATATGTGTTATATTTTATATGACTGCACAAGCTTATCAGTGACAGCCTTAACATATATTTGTAAGTAATACAATAACCAAAATTTCGAGACATAAGGACTTACACTGCAGCCTTACATAATACGTCGCAGACCAACAATGACACTGGTACACTTCCCTCAACTGAGCTCGATTCCTCGGATAAAGAGTCATGTAAGAGAGTTTGATCCATCCCTGATGTGGTATTGTGGTGGAAATCTTGTACATATATCTTCTGTATATGAAGAAGACTGTCTTTTAATTTCTCACTGTAGTAGTGGATTGTGTATTTCTGCTTACACTGAAGAGTAAGTAATTAAAATAAACATTTTGATGTTCTATAGATAGAGTCAGTAAAATAGTGTGCCTTTATCACAGTGCACAGGAAGCATTTCCACTCAGCACAGTCTCTTGGTATTAGTAAAAACTGTTTATTATTATTCGTGCCCATTTATTTATGTATTTACATTTTCGTAATAAGATACAATAAATAACGCTATTCCTCAACGTTGACTTAGCCGTAGACAGGAGCTGGGTTGTAAGTTTGTGCTGGGTACTGGGCCTGGCCCTCGTAGGTCACCTGGGCCACGTAGCCGGAGTCGCCGTTGACAGTGTAGGCCACCTTCTCCAGACGACCGTCAGGAAGCAGCACGTAATAAGAGCCCTGGGTATGGGGGCCGTCACGGGTCTCCTGTTGGCCGAAGTCGTTTCCTGAAGCGTCGTCTTTGACGGCCCAGTTGAAGTCGTACTTAGCAGGAGCCTGCAATAATATAAATCTTTATGGTCTCCGGGTTGAAGCTCACTACGTCTATAACAAGCACCACATGTGTTAGTATTATATTGGTGACAAACAATTTTTTATTAGTCTGGTTACTGAGAAACACTTGAAGTGTTGTCCAGTTTGCATTATACTCACCTGAGGACCGGGGGCGCCGTAGACTGGTGTTGGTGGCCTGTAGGTGGGGTAGGGAGGAGGCTCGGGGCGGGCCATCGCCGCTGCCACCAGCATGGCCACAACAACAACCTGATACATTCACAGTTCCATTAAATGGTTATAATTTATGTATTATTTTTAATATTAAACTTTTAACCTCAGGCAAGGATTATATAAATCCTCGCTATTACATATTGTATCATATATTAGCAAATGTTTTACCACTATTCAGGAGGATATAATAAAGATGACTTCCAAACACTGTCACAATACCTTGAGAGACATGTCTGGTGAGGAAGAAGAATGAGACTGATGCTCCTGGATGGATGACAGCGACTTATATATTCGGAGCATCACTCTGCGGCCTTGACGTCACACGCTTGTCAAGTGGCAATTGCTTTTGTGGTCGCGAGACTTTTTTCCTAAGTTGTAGTTATTCTTAACTGTTTTTAATGCTCACGTTCTCAACGTAAAATGTTTCTGGTTATATCATCAGGTAAGGGCAAGGTCGTCTTGACTAAGTATATTTGAAATGCTTTATATGTATTATATGATTTTTGCTTTCTTATATTGTCTTGTAGCAAGTTATTAGATATGACTTTGAGAATGCAAATATTTTCATGGAGACAAAATATATTGTTATAAGGTATAACAAAATATATATATATAGTGTCTAAATACATACTGACTGCTGTGTGGCACGACATAGTTTCTTGAAGCAAGTTATTAGATATGACTTAAAGAATGCAAATATTTTCATGGAGACAATATATAGTCATAATGTATAACAATATATGTAGTGTCTAAATACATACTGGCAGCTGTGTGGCAAGACATAACATAGACTTTTATGCTGTGTATTAAGTTATGTGGCTCTCTGGATGACTACCTGTCATGATGCTTAGAGCTTGCAATAATAAGATTGTTGATCGTGCTGATATTATGTAAGTAATACGTCAGTGAACTCTTGTATTTATGAATAGAATAAAATTATCTTTTAGAATATAAAGCTTTTTATACAGTAGTCTGATGTACATGAGGTAATATGAATATATGAATAGTTTGTTGCACATTTTCCAAGAATATATAGAAGAGTAAATATTGCAAATGCTCTGAAATGATCGTTGGAAAAAACAGACGTAACCATGCATTCGAATAAAAAAAAATAGTAAAAATCCATCCCAAGACTCCACCTTTCAGGACCACCAGAGTCCCCATCTCCACAAACCCAAAAGAACTGATAACTGACGGTGCAAATAACAGGATTTATAAAGTTAACCACATGATCTATTGCACTAATGAGGATGGAATCCCATATAAAGAGAGTGAATTGAAGGAAAAGGTTGGAGAAACAGGCACTGCTATAACAGCAAAAATTGCCTGTGTTGAAGTATTTTTTGTAAGGAAGGTAATAGAAATAGTAGAGGCATTTTAATCAAAATATAACATTGATATAAAGACAAAAAAATTTACATGTTGTATCATTGGAACAGAACAATGTGAGGCAACAGCACAGACGTACAGGTTGTTTACAAGTACTTAACAAACAAAACTTGGCATAAACAGAAAAAAATAAGAACAATAACCGAGCGAACTCGGACATTTCTCAACTGAAAATGGCTTAAAGGATTAAGGCAAAACTCCTGATCATGGGAGACTTCAACCATCGGGAGAATGACCGGGAATCAAGGCACCTAAAAATATATATATGAAACCATGGAGATCATACATGGTGGAAACCTTGAACAGAAACTTTCTGACGCAATTTTTTGGAAGAAGTAAGAGGAATGCGTGGAAAATATCTACCTGCTATAATAAACCTGTTCTTCACACCATTGTATGCACCTCTTTATTAATATCAAAGGGAGATAAAAATCTAAAGGTAACAGAGAAATAATGATAGAGAACTCGCATCTATAAACGAGAGAAAGACACATAGACAGACATATAGACAGAAAAACAAAAACAGGAAGATAATCAGGAAAAAACAGACACAAAAAGAAAGACACCTCTATATATATATATATATATATATATATATATATATATATATATATATATATATATATATATATATATATATATATATATATTAGTATATTTTGGTAGCAGTCTTTCCTGTAGACATATATTATTAAATATGACCGAAAAAGTAAGATTAATAATTCTAACACGAATTTTCTCAATCTTTCGTACATTTCTTTTCACTGTTGGAGGTAATTCAAAAATCAATTCTCCAAAATTCATTTTTATTTCTAGTCTGACGCGACACTTGAGCGCGTTTCGTAAAACTTATTACATTTTCAAAGACTTTACACATACACAACTGAATAGAACTTACATATCTCCGATTTGTTTATATCTACATTTGAGTGAGGTGGATGGGGTGAGGTGGTATTTAATAGGGTATTAATTTCATCAACACAAGACAGAACACGAAACAATGGGTATTGAAATGGAAGTAATTGTAGAAAGCCTATTGGTCCATATTTCTTGATGCTTCTATATTGGAGCGGAGTCTATTCTACCCACCTCAAGACTCCGCTCCAGTA